GCGCGCCGGCGGTGACCGAAACCTTACACAACCCGGAAGGAAGGGCGGCCGCTGGGACCCGGAAGAGAGCGGCGCAGCGCGCGCGGCCCGCTCGCCGCCGGCACCGCCCCCCCCCCCCCGCTGAGCCCGCCGCTCGGTGGGGGGGGGGGGGGGCGCGCACGGCCTCCCCGAGCATCTGGCACGGGTGGGTGGGGAAACGGAACACTATGGCGGGTCCTATAGACCCTACTCTAGTTTTTGATCGTGTGAGGAGCTCTTTCTCTTAAACGAATGATTCAAATACTGTTTCAGCTTCGAAAAAGCCTTCTTTGTGCAGGTACGATTTCATTCTTTATTACGTGTTATCTTCTTATTGCACGGCATGTGAAAAAGCATCTGTTTCAAGACAGCGGAGGCCGTTATCAAGCAGAGGTCGCTATCAATGAGAACAAAAACGTGCCTCTCGACAACCGGATGCGGCGTTTTCATCATGCCTCGTTTTATTGGTCGTTCAGTCCATCCTATTGACTCCTATCAACCCATCAGCACTCGAGCTTATCTGTTACCCACGTGGTTTTAGCACTCCAACGCCACAATGAGTAACGCCGGCCACTTGAGGCTGTCTCGGCGCGTGATACCCTCCCGATAGTCGCGCCTGACGCCGCCCGTGGCCGGCGCTCGGCAGGGGGGACGAGGGAGCGGCGGGCTGGCGGTGCATCTCGCCGATAGCGGCCCAGATAGGGCGCTGACAGGGATTTCCGGCCCCACCGCCGCCGAGGCTGTGAGCCTCCCTGCTACCTGGCGCCACCGTCAGATTAGCGACCACGCGCTCCGCCGCGCCGCGGCTCAGCGCGGCCGCCCGTCCACCATCAGAGGAGGCCTGACGCTCCACAGCCGCGCCATGACGTCATGGTGCCACCCAGACATCCTCCCCCTCTGCCCCCCCCCCCCTCCACCAGCCCGGTGGCCGGCACTCGGCCGAGACGTCAATGGTAAGTCCATCCACAAACACTCGACCCAGCCGGCCGGCGCCTGGGCGCTGCAGGCGCGCTCAGAGGCACCGTCTCTCTCCGACTCACGGCACCCCGCCCGGCGTCATCAGCCACTCGCTGCCGCCGTGACGGTCTGCGTCACTGCCAGCCGCTGTTAAGTGGGGTCATTAGCTGGGTTCATCGGCGGCGGCGGCAGCGCGTCTCCCCGGCCGCCGCGGGCGCCCTCGCCGGCCGCCGGCGGACGCCGCTAATTGCCCGGCGCTATCTGGCGGCAGGTAGAACGGATGCGGCCCGCCCGCCGGGCAAATATCTTCCTCTCCCGACCGGCCGGCAGTAGCCAGCGGCGGCTCCAGCGAGCTTGAGATTGGAGGCGCGTCTAATCGACGAAAGGGTTGAGTCACGCCAGCATGATGAAGCAGAGCAGTGGACGCAGCTCGTTTGGTCATCATCGCATCCATTTTGACTCGAACTATATACTGTTGGTCTCCTGCGCAGTCTTCCTCCTTCCCTGTCTCATGGCCCCTAATGAATTTTGTATCGCGTAATCGGCTGATTGCAGCGTAATTGGCTGCGGCGCAGCCTCGGGGCGGGTAACTCGAGGAAGTGGCGTGTCCGGCGATGGCTCCGGAGAAAAACACCGCTCAGCGCCTCCAGTACGTGACACAGAGTCGTAAACGGACGGCCTCTGACCTCGACCGGCCCGAGGGCGCCAATCAGTGGCGACGCGCCGACGACCGCCGTCGCCGCCGGCCCCGCCGATCGCGACGCCGGGGGCGGACCCAAACACCAGGGTCGGACAGCGCCGTGCCGTCCGACGGAGGGCAGTGCCCGGGACAGGGGAGGGGAGTTGTCAGTGACACGGGGCAAAACACGGAGGGGCGACTACACTGAGCGGTGGCCGGTGTAAACAGAAGCGTAGTCAGATTCCGTCCAGCTGCGCACCGGCCAGCAGCGGCACCGGGATTTCCCAGCCAGCCAGCTTCCAGTGGCGCAGAAGCCCCTTCCAGCGGAGCAAAAACTCTGTCTCAGTGTCCTTTAAAGTCACTGGCGTCGCCTGTGCCTCCGCGGCGGCGGCGGGAGCGGCCGTTGAGGGCAGGTGGTTTGAAAGAGGCCCGAGGGCCGCCGGATCCGGGCTCGGCGTCGGGAAGGGAAGCCGCTAATGGACACAAAAAGGCCGACTGCCCTCCCTCGCCGGCTGCCAGCGGAAATGCCGGGCTCGGGGCCGGTCTCGGCCGGCCAGGTAAGACCCCGGCTGATTGGAGCGCTTCCGGTCCGGTCCGGCGGGCGGGGCGGACCGAGGGACCGAGGGTGGCCTCCTGCCGAGACGGCGGGGAGGGCGCCGCCGGGCAGCCGACGCAGCGGATGTTTGCAGCCCGGTGGTGGGGACTGAGGGGAGCGCGGCTCGGCGTCTGGACGGTGGCTGAGCGCGCAGCGGCCGGTGGCGACACCCCTTCTCCGCAGTGGCTGCTGGCCGCGGCGGGAGGCACCCGCCGTCACCGCGAGCGCCAGCCGTCACGTCACAGCGCGTCGCGGCCGTGACGGCGCGCACATTAACCAACTGACCAGGATCTGGGCGTCACGGCCGAGGCGTCGGCCGGCTTCCCACCGAGCCGTCACGTCCCAGCGCACACTTCCGCCGGCCGGGCGGCGCCGCAGGAGCAGCAGTGGCAGCAATCAGCGCCGGCGCTCCGCCGAAGGCCGCGCCACCGGCCACCTGCCCGCCGACGGCGCCCTTCTTGTCCGCCGGCGCGCCCCTCGCCCGGCCCGCGGCCACTTGTTGCCCGTCACGGCCGCGTGCAAAAACGGCCCCGAAATCGCGGTGTCCGGGCGGCGGCAGGTGCGCGCGCGGCAGCCGCCGGCGTCTTGGGGTACCGACAAAGCGCGGATTTCCAGGGGGAGCGGGCGGCGCCGGCTGCGTTTTTGTGGGCACCCGGCCGGGGGCGGCCGGCGCGCAGTGAAGCGTGCAGAGGGGAGGGGCCGAAATCGCCGCGGACCCGCATCACGGGGCGCTGAGAAAGGGGAGACGCGCGGAGGGGCGAGGAGCGGCGGATGGGAGGGTCCCGGAGCCAGCCACCCGTCTCGGGATTGGAGCTGCTCGGTGGGAGTTTGTCACGCTTCGGGTCCTCTCGGAACGGTGGAAAGTTGAGTTTCCACGGAACGCCATACTTGTGCGCGAGTTGTGGCTCGACCGTCAGATCTTGCATGTGATGGCCGAGTGACTTTTGGTGACGTTCTCATTATTCGAAGTCCAGTGGCAGTGCCGAAGGACACTCGGGAGTTTTTGTGCCGTGTCTGCAATGACAGATGCTTACCTATCTACAACCAAATTTAAAAAAAAACAAGAGGTAAATTCCTGGACTGAAATGCTGACAAAAATGGTAGCAATCTCAGTAGTGGATCTGGTGAGGGACTGTCATGGCAAATGTCCTTCGCAGCCTTCGCGTCATTCAAAATAACGTCACGGTGACTAAAAAAGCATCAGTTGGAAACCAAACGCGAGGAAAACACAGTCAGCTCAGTACAGAAATCAAGCAAATCACACTACAGACATGCGGCATTAGCAGTTTCGGCCAGACACCACTATGCACACATACCGTGCAATGGCTTCGCCAGCTCACGTCAAACCAAACACGGAGAGTCAACCAGGCACTCCTCGCCAACGCCACGGCGCCACCACCAGCATCTTACATCAAACGGCCGACATGGACCGTTCAAACACACTCCCTGCGCCTTCCCGGCCGGGGCGCGGGTTCACCCTCCGTCTCCGGGCCGAGCAGCCGGCCGCTAACCATTGTACCCTTGAACGGCGTCCGGTAGCCTTGCACCGCGCCGTGCACAGCCGGTTGTGTCATTACCCGATTGTGCACTGTGCACTTGCACCGCGTGCAAACCGGAAGTCCGCCGGACGTCCGGCTATGGGTCAATTGGCGGCGTGTCCAGCACCGGTGACAGCGGACGGACCGGATCAGAACAATGTGTCACAAAGACACAGGAAACCGTCACAGGCCAAGGAGGCGCCGTTTGTCGTACAGACCCGCATTGTGGCGTTTGAACAATGGTGAAAAATTGCAGACCGGTTCATTTATAAGCGGTAAATGTGTTATACAACTATCGGTATTTCCCATGAGGAACGGCATAAGTACCTACGTTTAGGAAGTGAATATTTTTTGTTGTGTAAGTTATTATCGGAGACGTTCTAGGCATAAAATAAAATAAAATAAAATAAAATAAAATAAAATAAAATAAAATAAAATAAAATAAAATAAAATAAAATAAAGACCCTTGAGCTAACCATAAAATATTTACTGAGAAGGGCAATCTATAATTTCACGAGAACATTTCCGTTCAACATCAAAAGTCAGATACGTCAATGCATGACAAGGGCGGATGGAAAAGCTAGGCATATCTGAACACATTGCTTTTTAGATCAATTATCGGTTCGTGTCTTCAAACATGTCTCAGAGTTCCAAAAATATTAGGATTATATCTAAAATAAGCTATTTGCGAAAAAAGTGTGTTTTTCCAATGAATCAAATCAGTACTCGGCATTCGGAGCATTAAAAAAGTTACTTTCATTCACAAAATCGAGATTTGAATCGCGCTGCAGATTCCGGCTAAAATCTGAAGTCATGGCGTAAGGCGTTGCGCGGCCACCACGGCTGTTTCCCATAAATCGCTATGTTCAGGGCCGGCTACCTACGAGGGTGATAGTCGTCCATCGCTTTTGTCGCTAAATTGTTCGACGGCAATACCAAGAAGGACTGGTCACAGTGTCTCACTAGTCCATGGTCCGCCGAGGCCAACACAGAGCCCAACCTCCAACAGCTCCACGGTGGAGGATCGTTTCACGATTTCAATTTGGTGACAGCTCGGGGGCCGTTAAACCCGATCTAAGGTGTGGTCGAACCATACCCAAGAGCAAATAAAGCCGACGAGCCACTGACCACATTTACCACCAAGCCTTTCGCACTCAATCACAGCCGCTTCACCGCCGAACACTGTTCCCCGCAACCCGATAGGGTGACTGACCTTTCGTGTCGCCTGTGGGCCGCTGCGTATCTGCTCTCGGGTCCCCGTCCGTCTGCCGGCGTTCACTGGCGCTCTGTCTCAGTGTCCGTGTGTGTGTGCTGCGGCCGCTCCGTGCTCGTGTGGCGGCTGCCGATGCCCCGTCCACGTGCCTGTCAGGCCTGCCGCGCGCGACTGGCCGGCCGCCGCGGCGGCCGTCTTCAGCGCCGCGCGACCCTCGCGGCCACTTCCGCTGCGCGCAGGGGCGCCGCCAGCGCCGGCCGCTCGGGGGGACAGGTGCGCCTACCGCCGCGCCGCCGCCGAGACGGGACGAGAGGGGAGGACGGGTGCTCGCGCTCAGGTGTGGGACCTGGGAGGGGATGGGGAGAGAGAGAGAGAGAGAGAGAGAGAGAGAGAGAGAGAGAGAGAGAGAGAGAGTAGGGAGGGAGGGAGACTGGGAGAGCGCGGAGCAGCATGGTAGTCAGATGAGGGCAGATTGAATAGCCGGATGGGAGAGCCCAGAAGTAGCTGGGGTGCAGAGGCGGTGGCAGGAGGGCTGCAGAAGCGGAGACAGGAAGGAGAAATGAGGGGGATAGACTTGGACGGTCAAACGCGTCTGCTACAGAAAAGTATTCAAAGGCTGCTTCTATTTCGAAACAAATAGTTTATTCTAAAAGGTGCATAAACCTAATAATCAACCTCCCCCCCCCCCCCCGACACTGATCAATGCTCATCAGTCTCGAAAAATTGAGCGAAGCAGGTTTTATGACGGGTAAATATATTGGCATCTTTATAGACACTATAGGCCAGCCAATTAACTTGTGCATTGCGTTCTACAATTACAATAATTTTTTTAGAATTATCTTCATTGATTAATGATCGGCAAAATTCGTTTTTCCGAAGCATCAGGAAAAAGGGAGAAGAAATGGATAGGAATAGAGTGAATAAGGGAGGAAACTGAAGTTTGTGGAATGTAATTGAATGCATGAATGTGCGCCATAAGAATTAAGAGACCGAACCGTTAATTATGAAGTTATTTGACGAAACTGTATTGTTCAGCTGTTGAAACCCATTGCCATCCGTTCTTCCATCATTCCATTGCCTAATACGAGGGCCCTCGGCCGGTTATAGAGCTGGGTGGACAGGCGCACTGGCCGGCCGAGCCGCGACAGGTAGCTGCCATTGTCCTGCAGCGTGGCGACACGACCCGCTCCTCATTGGACCGCCAGGAAAAACCGGCCACCGCCGGCGCACCGTGCAACGCCGCGGCAGCGTGCCCCCACCCTGACGTCCTTGCGATATCGGCCGCTCCAAGGACCGGTGCTTTTGTGTCGCGCCAGCGCCGGTGACGGGCCGGCTCGTCACGTCACATTCCCTGACATGGACGGTGCAGTGGAAGAAAGCTGCACAGCGCCGCGCGCCGCCTGGAAGCCACCTGACTTCTGAGTTACTCAGGCCGGTATTCCCGTGTCGACGTCTCGCTGACTGTTTAAGGAGAAGCCACAGACACGAACGGCTAGGAAAAAATTGCTGGCGTTTGTGCGCCATTTGTTACTTCGGGTCACTGTTCAGGTTTACTGCCCACTGTCCAGGCCGGCAGTACTGGAGAAAGGTACTGTGAAATGGTCCACTTTTTCTATGATTCGCAAGAGCAAGGAATGGCGTTGGTAACGTCCCGGGCTTAACAAAGCATTTACCTGGTGCCTTTCGTGGAGCGCCACTCGAGGTGTGAGCAAACGAGGTTACGTTTGAGCTGATCCAGGTATTAAGGAGGACTGGAAAGAACACGTGCTAAGACGGACATCACGCTTATCCGTTCAGTACTTTTTTCGGAAACGCTGGTGAATTGTGGTGAGCTTTGAAATGTAGGTATCACGGTATTTCCTTTGTTATTCCACATTAACCGGGGTTAATGTTAACCGGGGGATGCCATCAGTGATGACAAACATAACTTTTGCTCCTCCTTTAACTTTATAGAACGGTACATTGTCCTAACTATTATATTGTTGTATATTGTTTCTATCAGGTCAGTCTTTGGAAATGCCTAAGGAATGTTTACTGACTTTTTGCAACTTTATTTCAATTGACTATGAAGCAGGGAATTAAAACAACTGGTAACATTTATGGTGAATGTGTTATTTACCTGTGAAAGTCAAAGTGTCAAAGTCAAAGTCAACATTCAACAGAAATAACTCGAAGAGAGTTTAGCGTAGTGAGGAAAATCATATTGATGATTATGAGCATATTTTTAATTGACCGAATCCTCAATGTAATCTGAATAAAATGACAAATAGCAAAAATTCGGGTATATTCGATCACAGATCTTTGTCAACCGATACCAGCAGGCGCCACAATTGTAGATGTCAAAATACTTTTTGTTCAGTACACATGCACAACAGTAGATATGTCCTCAGGGAAAAGATTTATGGTTGGTACTTCTAAAAGTCGCAGCAGTCAAACATAATATGTACAGGGAAAGCAGTCAAACATAATATGTACAGGGAAAAACCTATACACAAGATTAAAGTGCGTGTGTGCCTAAGCATATACGAATTTAAGATGAAACAATACTTGCGGATCAATTAAATTGGGCAGCAAGTTACACTCTTACCCTGGACAAAGTTAGGGCACATATAACATTTACACTGTGCGAAACAATTAAATGAGCATATTATACATAAATGAACATTATATACGTAAATGAGCATACATGAGCGTATTATCATACTATGACTACTCATACCCTGGACAAAGTTAGGGCGCATACAGCATCTATGAAAACGATCTACACAATCACTTTTTAACGTGGTGAGCTCTTGAAAATGCTACCCTACTTTGGAAGTAGCTGCCAGGAGGTGCTGTTATCGTTAAGAGCTGGCATCCTATCGCGGATGGTGATGGATTCAGCAATCCTCCTGTCAGCTTCATCCTTACATTTGCGTACGATGCGTGCTATCAGAGTCGTGTCCGTTGGGGTCAGGTCTGGGTGCTCGTGCGCGAAATGTTCACCCATTGGTGTGCCTAGTTTCTTGTTGGTGCCATCTCGTAAGTGTTCGTTATATCGCAGTCGTATTGGCCTACCGCTTTCTCCTACGTAAGTTTTGTTGCACAGACTACATTTCAATTCGTACACTACGTTTTTCGTGTGACACTTTCCCCGCAGCCCAGCTTGACATGCGTGGCAGTGCTGTCTGCCTGAAGGACACGGTGGGTCTTTGAGAGCTGACCGCACTAGCTGTCTTTTGAGTGTGTTTTGATTTGTCCATGCTGCAAGGATCGGAAACCCTGATGTTTTCAGCACTTTTTGGACCTTGGAGGCCACTTCATCATTTATGAATGGTAGTTTGACGTAAACTGTTCCCCTGCGCTTCCTTTTGTCCCTCTGCACCCTAGCTACCCCCCTGTTTGCACGAGAGCATTCCCGTAGCATGACACTTTTGATGAGCTTAGCTGGATAACCGTTCAGCTTAAATAGGGACGTGATCACCTCTAGGCTCTTGTCCCTACTTGGGATGTCGGAACTTATCCGAATGGCTCTTTTTACATGTCCTGTTAAGACTGCCTTTTTGGTCGTGAAAGGATGGGCCGATTGAAAGTGAAGGACAAGTTTTGCGGCATTGGGCTTAATGTACAGTTGTGTAGTGTACGTGCCGTTGTCCTTTACTGTAATCAGTACATCAAGGAAAGGGAGAGATCCGTTTGCATCAGATCGCTCCATCGTGAACTTGATCGTTTCATGTTTCGAGTTTAGAAAGTCTAGGTACTCGGATAAGCTTTCTGCCCCGTGTGTCCATACCGCAAACACATCATCTATGTAGCGCATGTAGGTATTCGGCTTCAAACCCCTAGGGTGATTCCAGAACTGTTTCTCGAGTGAGCCCATGAACACAACTGCTAGGGTTGGAGCGATACGGGATCCCATAGCCAGGCCCTGGGTCTGCTTGAAGTACGAGTCCCCAAACCTAAGATAGTTGTTCTGGAGACAGTGTTGTAGCAGCGTTCTGATGTCACTGGTGTCTAGTCCAAATTCCTTGATCCCTTTCCAAATCCCTTTCCTTGATGTACTGATTACAGTAAAGGACAACGGCACGTACACTACACAACTGTACATTAAGCCCAATGCCGCAAAACTTGTCCTTCACTTTCAATCGGCCCATCCTTTCACGACCAAAAAGGCAGTCTTAACAGGACATGTAAAAAGAGCCATTCGGATAAGTTCCGACATCCCAAGTAGGGACAAGAGCCTAGAGGTGATCACGTCCCTATTTAAGCTGAACGGTTATCCAGCTAAGCTCATCAAAAGTGTCATGCTACGGGAATGCTCTCGTGCAAACAGGGGGGTAGCTAGGGTGCAGAGGGACAAAAGGAAGCGCAGGGGAACAGTTTACGTCAAACTACCATTCATAAATGATGAAGTGGCCTCCAAGGTCCAAAAAGTGCTGAAAACATCAGGGTTTCCGATCCTTGCAGCATGGACAAATCAAAACACACTCAAAAGACAGCTAGTGCGGTCAGCTCTCAAAGACCCACCGTGTCCTTCAGGCAGACAGCACTGCCACGCATGTCAAGCTGGGCTGCGGGGAAAGTGTCACACGAAAAACGTAGTGTACGAATTGAAATGTAGTCTGTGCAACAAAACTTACGTAGGAGAAAGCGGTAGGCCAATACGACTGCGATATAACGAACACTTACGAGATGGCACCAACAAGAAACTAGGCACACCAATGGGTGAACATTTCGCGCACGAGCACCCAGACCTGACCCCAACGGACACGACTCTGATAGCACGCATCGTACGCAAATGTAAGGATGAAGCTGACAGGAGGATTGCTGAATCCATCACCATCCGCGATAGGATGCCAGCTCTTAACGATAACAGCACCTCCTGGCAGCTACTTCCAAAGTAGGGTAGCATTTTCAAGAGCTCACCACGTTAAAAAGTGATTGTGTAGATCGTTTTCATAGATGCTGTATGCGCCCTAACTTTGTCCAGGGTATGAGTAGTCATAGTATGATAATACGCTCATGTATGCTCATTTACGTATATAATGTTCATTTATGTATAATATGCTCATTTAATTGTTTCGCACAGTGTAAATGTTATATGTGCCCTAACTTTGTCCAGGGTAAGAGTGTAACTTGCTGCCCAATTTAATTGATCCGCAAGTATTGTTTCATCTTAAATTCGTATATGCTTAGGCACACACGCACTTTAATCTTGTGTATAGGTTTTTCCCTGTACATATTATGTTT